CTCTCTCTCCCACTTCTCGTCAACCTCTCTCGTCGTCTCGTCTACTCTTCTACTATCCCTACTCTCTCTCTCTCTCTCTCCCTACTTCTCGTCAACCGCACTATACCTCTCTCGTGTCTCCGTCACTCTTCTCTATTCCCTCTCTCTCTCTCTCTCTCCCATTCTGCAACCTCTCTGTGTCTCCGTCACTCTTCATATTCCCCATCTCTCTCTCTCTCTCTCTCCCCATTCTGCAACCGCATATACCTCTCTGTGTCTCCGTCACTCTTCATATTCCCCATCTCTCTCTCTCTCTCTCTCTCTCCCCATTCTGCAACCGCATAAAACTCCCTGTATTTTCTTTCATTGAGGAGCAAACTCTTGCTCTTTCTCCTTCCACCCCTTAAATTTGAAGAAACGCTTGGTATCTCTCTCTCTCTCTCCTCTGCGACTAAGGAGACAGAAATCATATAAAACACATCTCCCTCTCTCTCTCTCTCTCTCACTGCAAATCAGGATATTTGAAAACAAAACTCTCTGTCTCTCTCTCTCAAGTTGAGTTTACTGCCACAAACGTTACCACCCATTTGCATTTCATCTCGTCTCTGGCTTTCTAGACCCTAAAATACCACTAACATTTTCTCTCTCTATCATAAAGGCCACTGAGCAATGGCCAAAGGTCTCCAGAAAAGCTTCTTTCTCTGCATCTCCACCCCCAAAACCACCAAAACCCGCGCAGAAAAAGACCCCAAAACCTCTCCCTTCAAAACCTTCAACTCCCTCTTCGACCCCCTCGCCGCCCAAAGAGACCCCAAAACCTTCAACTCCCTCTTCGACCCCCTCGCCACCACCGCCTCCGCCAAATTCACCAACAGCTCCGACTACCCTCCCGACTTCACGTCCAAATCTAGCAGGAGCTGCTGCTCCTCCAACTTCACCGAAATTCCACCAAATTTAGCAGTGTTGCCAACTTCTCGGCGCTTCTTCTTCTCCCCTGCCAAATCCAACTCCTTGATCGATGACATAGGCATCGTGGATCCGCCGCTGGAAAATTATCAGGAGACTTCTCCGGCGAGGCCGGAGATATTGGGTGGAGCTGAGGCGGTCAAGACGCATTCGTCGGATCCATACATCGATTTCCGGCAATCCATGGCCGAGATGATACAGTCTAGGCTGGTGGCGGGCTTAGTGATGGACTGGGTTTATTTAAAGGAGCTTCTTTCATGTTATCTCAGGCTTAATGAGAAGGATTCACATAAGTTTATAATGGGGGCTTTTGCTGATCTCGTGGTGAATTCGGTGTTCGAAAATGGACGGAAGTCTGAGTTTTCCGGTGAGTTTGGGGCTGATAGGATGGCCGGGATTTGATATTAACGATGATTACTGGGTTGGTGAGTTGCCGGGATCTGAGGCTTCTCCAAATGGGAATGATATTTTTGGAGGTTTCGGTATAATTTCGGCCGAAATACGCACTTAGCACTAAGAAGGCCAATGGTATAGAGTACTATAGACTGTGAGTGAGAGAATGACCGAAAATTACTGTTAATTTGTTACGCAAATTCCTTCTTCCAAATATTGCTGGGATTAGGTGGAAAGTGGTAGCACAACTTCAAATACTTGATCTCATACATAAAAGTGATTGTGATCTTTTGTATCAAAGATAAAATAGTTTACCTACATTTATTTCTTTTTATTTAAGATAAATAGTTTGTGTATATTCCTCTCCTTTTATTTATTGTTAGGAAATTAAGGGTGTAATTGGAATGGAGGCTTTAAAAGTAGACTGTGGAGGCTTCTAACTTAACAATTGAAATAAATGTGCAAAAGGGGTTGTATTGGGCAAATTAGTCATTCGCATACTTGAAAACAACTAGAGATTCATTTTATTTTTTTGAGTAATTCAGTAGGGATGACTGAGGTACGGGGTATGCTACCATTACGACTTCAGCCTTTTTCTCGAACAACAATAACAACACGAGGTTCTCAAAGTAAAATAAGACCCCTTTCTATAGAATAAGAAAGTGATCTTTCAAGTTGAGCCTTAAGTTCTCTCACACACTCTAGAGAACCCTCCACACTTTTCTTAACGCAAGGAAGTGTTTCCATATAAACACATCACACTTCATTCCCTATCCTTCAATGTGACGCTTGAAACCTATTATATCTCTCTTTATAATTTAACATTTTAAAAAATGGTATGATTCATATAAAGTGTCGACCTCAAGCAACCGACGTAAGGCACATCTAAATCTTGCTAAAAAAAAAGATGCAGTTCCAGTGTTAGAAACTTTTACAATAATGGCCTACAAATTATCTCACCTCTAATTATAACATTTAAAGATAAAAATGTAGATTGAGCATTACTTATAAACACCTAAATTTTTTGAAAATAAACAGTCTTAAATAATAAGTTACAAGATGTATTATTTTTAGTAGTCCAAATACTTTTTTAATTTATATCCACATTTAGGGGTCGAGAAGAACAATTGTAGGATTTTTTGAGGACAAAACAATATTTCTAGTACATTTTTTAAGGTGCACCTTGCTCCTAAATTATAAGGTTGACACCCTATATAATATTTTTTCTTATTAGAAACTATAATATTAAATCATCTTCTTTGAAACACTGCTTAGTATTTTTCACATTTATCGTTTTGGTCTAAGAAGAGTGAGGATCTTAAACTTTCTTTTAACCCGTCTCATCCCTGGGTCAAGGGGTTGGGTAGTGATAGGTATGACAACCAATGTAAACCTTTGTCAAAATTTATTATGAATCCGATAATGAATTACCTTTATCGTTTTATTGATAGATATTTATGAGGTGAATGCCTCTCAAGCTTGCTTATATTAAAATGGAAGCAACATTTTGTGACTGGTAAATGTCATATTTTGATATCATATAGCATAATAGCATCAATTAGGATTTCCTTGGTTTTACGTTACGCATTTCCCTCTCTCTCTCTCTTTACATTGATAATAGCATTGCATTGCATTGCAATGTTGCTATCAGTCTGCATATTGTTACATGAGGTCTGAGCCCATTTGGAAGTACTTTGGATTATAGTAGCTTCTGTACGCCAGCAGTAAGGGTTGCCAGAACGAGCAGAGAAGCTCAAATAAAAACATTGAAGAAAACAAAAGTGGGAGTACACTGTTCATTTTCCCTACTGGGTAAAACTCTCAAGTTGGGGATACTTTTTGGCTCATAAAAATTGGATATAAAATATCTAGAACACAATGACCAACCTCAAAGAAGAAAAAAAGAAAGAAGAGAAGGGTGTGGTTTGTTTAAGGTTGCAACCGTAAACAATCTAATTAAGGCACACCTCCAAATATTATCATAAACATAATTTTGATATAAAAAATTATTAGAATTGCTTGAGAAGTCTAATTATAAAATTTTAAAATAAAAAAATAATTTTACTTATAAATGTTTGGAAATCTTGAAAATGGACGGTCCAGATAACGTGTTTCAAGATACACTATTTTTAAGACTTTAAATCTTTTTTTCTTTTCATATTCATACATTTCAATGCCGAGATGATCAGTTTGAGGCTTTTCTAACATCAAAACAATATTTTATGATTGATTTTTGAGGTGCACCTTAATTCTACATTTTAAGGTTGCAACTTTTTTTTTTCCAAAAGAAAATTTCTCGCACCTCTATGTGCCTAAGAGAAATGACGTCCTAAGATCGAACAGAAATTGTCTGAATTTATGGAGAGAAATACCTAAATGTTCAAGCACTCGAAAACCAATTTTTTCTTGAAAATGATCAAATACTTAGATAGATCCCAAAATTTCAGATCTAAAAAAAATCATTAAAGTATTTTATATGCTCCTACAAAGGAGTTGTCGTTCAGTAAGTTCCCACAAAGCGTACATTACTCGCTTCAAATAAAACACTGAAACAAATAAAAAATTTGCGAGAGAGAGAGACGATTTGCCGGGTGAGGAGAACTGGCGGGTGTGAAAAAAACAAGGACACAGGTGAAAAATGGGAGAGAGAGATTTCATAGAGAAAAAAACAAGAGGCCAATTACAAGCAAAGTAGGTACGTAACAAGGTAGCCAGTGGGTCAGAGTCTGGCGTGCCTCATGGACCCAGCTTGTTAGATCCGTTCTTGTCAGGCCGGAGCTTTTTGGGCAGGGCAAGTAGGCGGTGTTGCACACCAATGTAGAAAAACTTGGGCCAGCCAATTCAGACTTTCCACCTTAGCGAGTCTTGACTATCCCCGAGTTGGGCATATATATATATATAGAAGATATAGTATAAGTCCAATGGTTCAGATTGAATATGAGCCGATCTGGCAATTGAGAGTGTTTGAATTTTAGTTTTTTTTTTCTACAAATCTAAATCACTTGAAATTTTCGATCAATATTCTTCTCATCAAGCTACACTTAATAAAACTATATATTTTAAAAAAAAACGTAAAATTAAAAATGACCAAATACCCCCAAAAATTTACAAGGTTATTTTGATCATTTTTTCATGTAAAATATATTTTTAATATTTTTTTCGAATATTTACCTATTTTTTATCAACACACATCTAAAATTTCAAGTGATTTGAATTTGTAGAAAAAAAAATTAAAATTCAAACATTATCGGGCATCTATGATCATTAGATCGGTCCAGATTCAATCTAAGCTATTGCACTCATTTTTTCTTGTAAGCCCATTGGCTCACAAAAACCTTTTCATATATATATATATATAATAAAGAGTAATGATCCTATAGGTCCTTTCTCCACCCATATGTATAAGACCCCAAATGATCATCATTAAATTTGACACGGATCTATAAAAAAATCAAGCTCCACATCCATGTGATAACTTTTTTAAAAATCCGTACCAACTTTAATAGTGATCCTTGAAGGTCTTACATACATGAATGGGGGAAAGTCCTATAAGATCATTACTCTTTCTCTAATTATATTAAGAAAACATTTGAATGGTTAGTTACAATTGTTTTTAGATGGACTTCCTATTTGCATCCATCTTTATACCTCTGGACCGCATACATGAAACAATTGTTCAATACTATTTGCTTTGACCTAGTTTTATAGCTACATTCTGAACGCTAAATCAATGTCTCCTTATGCTCATCAATGTCTTTAATTTTGGGTAATTCAAAGGTTGCCAATCTTTTAACAGTTGAACTTAATCCGTTCCAAGTTCATCATTGGTTTTTTTAGAATTAATATCATGAGAAATGTAAATGCCTGGAAAATTACACTGCTGAATCTGTAGCTTACAGCGTGTCGAGAACAGATTTTATCAGAATCTGTTATCTAATCTACGCATATTCTGCCCTTTACAAAGAGAAGCACGAATGGGTTAGAACCTATTTCTATTTCTATATATCAAGTCCTTGACAGAGAGAGACGTTAAGGTAGGGTAAATTTTGCACCACGAATTCAATTACTACCACCTTAAGACCGACAACTAACCTCTACTCCATAGAACATTAAAATAGCTATGCAATTTTTTTTGCAGCAGACGATAAGAGGTTTTATCATTGCTCATGTTTCATGTTTTCATTAAATTGATAGCGATGAGAGCGACTGAAATGGATATTTGATCAATGTTAGTGATTTTTGGACAACAAATTTTCAAAATCCCCAGCATAAGATGCTTCTCATTCAACAAAATATTAAAGAAACTTGTGGAACTTAAAACATTTTCATGTAGACCTTTTTTTATAAATCATAGCCACTTATCCCATTGTTGGACACAACTTAATAGTTTTTTTTTTTTTTGAAAAAGGATAATGCATTAAATAAATATGATGACATATTTGTGGTAACCAAAAATTTGTAGTAACAGCCTGAGCAACGATATCTACCTCTCAATAAGCCTTTCATTTTCACATTTCCTCCGCAAGTCGGCTTTTCGGGCCTCAAAAC